CATGCCTAGTTGATGGTTATAGTACGTTGGTGAAGCAGTAAAACGGAGCCTTTCAGCTATCTGAGGAAGAAAATGTGGTAGCGGAAAGAGTGATCCTTTGAGCACTGTTGGAATTGGATTATAATTGAGACATTACGCGCCGAAGCGAAGAAACACGCTGCAAGCATCAGACCCGACAACCTCAAAAATCGCTATCAAGTGATATAAAATCATTTTACAAACCAAATGTAGATCATCGTGTTTAATATACATTTTATGAAATAGTTGTAGACCTAAATAGTTGTACTACAGGTTAAACACACAATACAAGCCGGAGAAAAGGGCATTATCAAACACTTCTATAGAGTCTGGAGCTTTTAGCACAACTCTACACCATTAGGTGAGGTGTGATGTGATGTATCATAGGTTTCTTGACCCGTGAAGGAACATTGGGGGGTCAATAGTGGTGAGCGCAAGCGTACAGTACTAGTGGTGTCGTGATGTCGTTTATGTGAAGACCTATATGTGCTTCAGCGTGAAATGCCCGGGATCAAGAGGAATCGATCCTTGATGAAGCTGAGATGGGACACGAGGCAGGCTTTCCTACGGTATAAAGTCAGAGATATGAGCGATGATGGAACCTATGTATGCTCACCTATGACATATCGAGGAAGGAATGATAAGATAGTTCCTCTTGCTGGCCATTGCCAGAAATATCGAGGACAGGCGTGCTGTCCGTCGACGACCTCTTCGTCAAACGAGACGAGCGAGAGCTCTGTGAAGCGTCGGAAATTTTTCGACTGTGAAAGACACGTTTAATGGTCCTTTTCTTGCTCAACGACTTGGTGCGTTGAGGGTCAGGTGAGGATGGGCGTTCGAGAGGGAGGTCGAAGGCGGCACTCGTGGGGGATGGTGTAAACATGGAGGTGAAAGCGGCAAATTTGCTCGACATATTGAATGTATTTTTCGACGACTTTGGTTCTCGATATCACTGCTAAGGTGGGGGTTGGTGTGGGTTAAGGGCAGGGGGATCGGACGAGGTGCTGACGATCTAGGGCAGCTGGTTATATTGTGCGGGTACTTCTGGGGGTGGGAATTGTCTGTATAATTGTCAAGTAACGCCCACAGGGAGCTTGACTGAATGGACTTGTACGTATCGCCCGGCCTGGGCACCCCGCATAGTCGGAGATGAATAGAAATGGTCCATCAAACTAGGGTCGTTTGGGCAAAAGCGTTTCGCACGGATCGCATTCCAGTCCTCTGGAGCTGGCGCTTGAGCTAAAGACGCGCGGGGTAAGTACCACCCTAGCATGGCTGGCTAATGATAGCTCAGGCCATATGGCCGTCTGATTCCTCTGCGGAAGAGGACGTCCAGGAATTTCACGGTGGAGCACTGCTGTTCTCCAAAATAAGCACGGGTGCCCAGTTGAGTACAATGAGCAGGTGCACACAATGCAGACAGTTTTTCGGCGCGCTTTGAAAGGCGAGCAGTGTTATGCATACAGGGATGAGTTTTGAGAGGTGGGTGAGGGCTGCTGAGAAAGGCAAAATTGGCGAGCCCTTGATTGTGGGACGAGGCTAATTGGCCACCTCCTTTGAAATTTGGGCGCCCTGGACTACCAATCGGGTCTACAAAGCTGACATGAACAATAAAGTTCAACCAATGGCCTCATCTTTCCATTTTGTGCCCAATTCGCGAGAATGGCTCGCTTCAGTCGTACTCTTGAATAGGTGTCGGATGCTCTCGATAAATGGCTAAAATCACTGTGATCCCAGTTTGAATACGCTTTCGATCGACTTGGTCGTGGAATTTGCAAACAGCATAGCTTAGAGGTGGGCCATTTATGTGATGAGCAGTGCTCGAGCTCTTTTGACGGCCATATGAAGCCATAACTAGCTACACTTGGAATAAGCTTGCTGTTGACGATGACACCAGAATAGGGCCGTTACTGAGATGTCAGTCCATGATATTTTGGGGAGGTCGGGGTAGGGAGCTGCCAACGGCAAGACAGCACTCTTTTAGGTAGATTACAGATATCTGCCTCTCCGGCTCATATGACATAGTTGACGACAATTATTGATATGAATAGATTCAAATTCATTGATGACATACCACTTTGGATCAGCGTGTGCGCTTTCGAGGTGGCTTGCGACCATGTTTGTGGTTCAGACGGAATAGTCAAGAAAACTGGGTAACGTTATATGTATAAATCGCTAACACGCTTTCTTTAACTGCTTCTGATTGATCATGAGACCAAGAACGTTACAGAGAATACTCCATAGCATCGACTCTGGTCAGCGTGAAATATTCAACGCAGCAAGTCGACTACACTTACATGTCTTTGGAAGGGGTTCAATCATTTCTTTCAACATCTATAGGAAGTTTATCACGTCTAGCTACCGTCACATTTTCGTAATTTATGTGAGCGAGTATATACCACCGAGTTCCCTTCAGACTAAATTTTATATCCATTACATAACAGATCAGAAATATGAAATGATCCTTATTATCATATCGCTCGATGATGGACATGCAAGGCGCCTTTAAACCTCAAGGCTTCTTGGTGATGGGTGGTAGGTTCGAAAGCGCTTGGTCCTGTTCGCCACACCCAAGACAGGAACCGCAAACATGGCTGATATGGACGTCGATACACCCGTAGGAGGATCTGAAGTCGCTGCTGGAAAGAAAAAGAAGCAAGAAGGACCGCGATTTGAGGTCAAACGCGTAAGTACCATTTTCAGGTCGTCCCCTCACTTTTGTTTTTTCCTTGTCTAAAGCAAGAACACGAGCTAATCATCTTCGTATCTAGTGGAATGCTGTAGCTCTTTGGGCATGGGGTGCGTTTTCGAAGCCTGGTGGACTGGCCAGGTTGTGCAGGCGCTGACTGTGTCAACTAGACATTGTGGTAGACAACTGTGCCATTTGCAGAAACCACATCATGGATCTTTGTGAGCGCTAGAGTTGATTAATACATAGATGTCGCGTGCTTATTGTGTTCCAAGGCATTGATTGCCAAGCTAATCAGGTCTCCGCCACGAGTGATGAGTGCACGGCTGCCTGGGGAATCTGCAATGTACGTGATCGCTGATAAACCGCCTCCAAACTTGTATAGAGCTTTAGACTAATGGTTCCTCTCTTTGATATAGCATGCCTTCCACTTCCATTGCATTTCGCGCTGGCTAAAGACGAGAAATGTCTGTCCTTTAGACAATCGTGAATGGGAGTTGCAAAAGTATGTTTTCTCCTCGATAAAGATTACTTCCTGCTAATGTCATTCATAGATACGGTCGATGAGCGCTTTCCACTATACTCTGGACGCTCTAGGTTGGATTATCATCATCCAGACGATTCGTGTGCCTTAGATCAAGTTGATTAATACAGCATAATGCCATATACAGCTTCATATCCTGAATTTTATGCTCCAAGCTCGATCAATAAGGAGGGACTGTGTCAAAATTGTTTGATCGTCTTAAACAGTGTCCTACATAGTCTATCTTTCAACTAGTGAATGTAAATGGTGATGAGTGGGGGCAGCTTCAATACTGAATTGATTGCCACTTC